CTCCCTCTCTCTCTCCCTCTGTCTCTCTCTCTCTCTCTCTCCTCTCTCTCTCTCTCTCTCTCTCCCTCTGTCTCTCTCCCTCTCTCTTCCTCTGTCTCTCTCTCCTCTCTCTCTCTCTCTCTCTCTCTCTCTCTCTCTTTCTCTTTCTCTAAAATAATTAAAAGGCCACAAAGTAAATCTTTGTTTTTGAGTAACACCTTGTGTGCTCATTATGCCTTTTCAATCTTAACACACTCTCCATGTCCGTGTCACTTGCCTGTCAGACCATCAGCGCCTGATCCAGATGGATCTCCAGTCAGACCAGTCTGATCCTGCTGGGACTCACTGGTCCCTCACAGAGAGGACAGCTCCGGACATGTGCTGTCTGGTTTTAAAAATCTCACAATCAGGGAGAACCGGAGCTTTTAAAAAAAATGTGTTTGTGTAGTCGGAGGAAGCGTTCAGTTTGCTCGAAAAAGTAAAAAGTGTTTCTCCTGTTTTATTTTTCCCTCAGAGGAACATTAATCTCTGCCTCAATGTGACCCCAGAGACAGAGAATACATTTTTATATGACGACTAAAGACTTTTAATACCAGCCCCCTTTATAGACTCCAATATCTGTGCTCTGCTGCAGATATTGATGAATGGTGTTTTTATGTGTTTCATGCTACAGGCCTTTATTTGATCTCTGTGTGTGTGTGTGTGTGTGTGTGTGTGTGTGTGTGTGTGTGTGTGTACCCCTTCAGTCTGCAGAATGGCTTCAGCAGCGCCTCCAGCTGGATCCCTTTAGATTGGCTGGATCAATCCTGTGTATAGACTCTGACGTTTTCTATCCTCTTTTATTTAGTGCTTTAGAGGTGCGTTTGTGAACATTTCTTGGGTTTGAAGAGCAAACGTTTAGGTGTTGAACAGCCAGAATAGTTGAAGAAGTAGAATAGTTGATATGTACTTAAGTCCCGCCTCTGATTAGGCAAATAGCCAATCATAGATTTGGATTTTGGGATGGCATCTGGGGTGGCCAATCAGAATCCAAGGGGGGGCCCATGCCACCCTGCTGGACACGACCCTGAGAAGAGATAGGAACTAAAGATGATCATCAAGTGTAGATACAATATTCAAGATATCATTTCCCTTATTTATTTTCTTTGGATGATTAAATATTAGAAAGGTGTGAAAAATGTACATCACAGTTTCCTTAAACCCAAAGTGCTGTCTTGAAATGGCTCCTTTTTTATACCAACATTGCAAAAAAAATATACCTTTACCTTTTGAACATGACGATGACATTTGATAAACCGCAACAGTTAAATTTTGACATTTTGGTTTGAAAATTCTCCCAAAGGATTCATTGGTTTTTGAGATATTTGTCCAATAATTCCATATATAGTTGTGGCAGCTCTCATTACATATAAATAATGAGAACGCTTTATCAGAGCAGGATTATCTGGTAGACTTTTATGACGTGTTTTTACAGCAGAGATGCTCAGGAGGAAGAGAGAGAGGAGAGGGAGAGAGAGGGAGGGTGTACAGGAGAGGCGGTGGTCTTCTGCAGCCCGTCTCATTTAGATTGGGAGGCATCAGCTCCTGTTGGGGAGGAGGAGAGGAGACGCACTGATCACGCTGCTGATGTAAAAGGTGCCACGTTGGAGGGCCTAGATTGTGGATCAGAAACAGAGGGCTGAGTCTCAGACTGTGGAGGAGAGGAGAGAAGAGAAGAGAAGAGAAGAAGACAGGAGAGGAGAAGAGAGGAGAGGAGACTAGAGGAAAGGAGAGGAGAGGAGGGGAGAGGAGAGGAGAGGAGAGACGAGGAAAGAAGGGGAGAGGAGAGGAGACTAGAGGAAAGGAGAGGAGAGGAGAGGAGGGGAGGGGAGGAGGAGATGAAAGGGGAGGGGAGGAGAGGAGAGGAGACTAGAGGGGAGCAGAGCAGAGCAGAGGAGAGGAAAGGAGAGGTGTGATCTGTTGGTCGTCTACCTGCCATACAGCAGCAGCAGCATCGTAGTGCGGAGAGGTGCAGCCATGGCAGTGAGTGCGTGGCAGGCTCTGTCTCCACTGCAGTGGGCTCGCTGGGGCTGGGACTCGCTGCTGGGAGGGGCAGGAGACGGGGACAGCCCCGGCTCGGATCCGGCTCTGGGGCTCCTTCGCAGTATCTCCTGGGGCTCGCGTCATGACAACCTGATCAGGGCGGCCGGGGAGCCGGTCAGACAGAGGTGAGACAGGACGGGAGGCTGGGGGCGAGCTGCCGTATGATAAAACACTGATCAATGGAGGATAGAGGCTGGTAGAGAGGTTTTCTGGTGAGCTGGCTTTGTGTATGTGTGTGTGCGTTATCGAGGTAGGAAAATCAATATTTCTTCTGTTCACTTTGATAACACGGTTCATATTTACAGCCTGTTGTCATGCAGAAACCATCTTTATTAAAGCTGTCATACCTTAAGATCTGGAAGTGTGTGTGTGTGTGTGTGTGTGTGTGTGTGTGTGTGTGTAGAGGTGGGGTCATGATGTGTCTCAGACGTGCAATTATCCGTCACCTCACTGCAGATTCAGCGTTTTCATTTGAGCCATACACACGGTCTACAAGAACTGAAACTGAACCTGAAACTGTAACCTTTACGAGCTCGGTGCAATACGTACAGCAACACAGACTGATGATTGAACTGTTTGTAAGAAAGGGTTTGAAAATAAAACAGTTCAGGAGAGAGTATTTACGACTCCTTGAAAGGATGGAAATACTTAAGGACATTTATAGTACAGAATCATTGGCTTTATTTCTCCAAATATATGAAAACCAAAAATGGACAAAATACTGTAAAGCGGGCGTTGTTGATGGTACCTTAAGTAGTCTCTTCATTATTTATTTGGTTCTTATTCATCCTCTTATCTACAAAAGAAATCTGAATGCCCCAAAACCTCAGCTTCACTTGGTTCTCTAATGTACATTTAAAGGATTTCTTGGACCTTCAGGGACTCTTAGACTAGGACCTTCAGGGACTCTTAGACTAGGACCTTCAGGGACTCTTAAAATAGGACCTTCAGGGACTCTTAGACTGGGACCTTTAGAGACCCTTAGACGAGGACCTTCAGGGACCCTTAGACTAGGACCTTCAGGGACTATTAGACTAGGATCATCAGGGACTCTTAGACTGGGACCTTCAGGGACTCTTAGACTAGGACCATCAGGGACTGTTAGACTGGGACATTCAGGGACTCTTAGACTGGGACCTTTAGGGACTATTAGACTAGGACCATCAGGGACTCTTAGACTGGGACCTTCAGGGACTCTTAGACTAGGACCATCAGGGACTCTTAGACTGGGACATTCAGGGACTCTTAGACAAGGACCTTCAGAGACTTTTAGACTAGGACCATCAGGAACTCTTAGACTAGGACCTTCAGGGACTCTTAGACAGGGACCTTCAGTGACTCTTAGACGAGTACCTGCAGGGACTCTTAGACTGGGACCTTAAGGGACTTTTAGACTAGGACCTTGAGGGACTCTTAGACTGGAACCTTCAGGGACTCTTAGACAGGGACCTTCAGGGACTCTTAGACTGGGACCTTTAGGGACTCTTAGACTGGTACCTTCAGGGACTCTTAAAATAGGACCTTCAGGGACTCTTAAAATAGGACCTTCAGGGACTCTTAGACTGGGACCTTCAGGGACTCTTAGACTAGAACCTTCAGGGACTATTAGACTAGGACCATCAGGAACTCTTAGACTGGGACCTTCAGGGACTCTTAGACTGGGACCTTCAGGGACTCTTAGACTGGGACCTTCAGGGACTCTTAGACTAGGACCATCAGGGACTCTTAGATAAGGACCTTCAGAGACTTTTAGACTAGGACCTTCAGGGACTATTAGACTAGGACCATCAGGAACTCTTAGACTAGGACCTTCAGGGACTCTTAGACAGGGACCTTCAGTGACTCTTAGACGAGTACCTGCAGGGACTCTTAGACTGGGACCTTAAGGGACTTTTAGACTAGGACCTTCAGGGACTCTTAGACTGGAACCTTCAGGGACTCTTAGACAGGGACCTTCAGGGACTCTTAGACAGGGACCTTTAGGGACTCTTAGACTGGGACCTTCAGGGACTCTTAAAATAGGACCTTCAGGGACTCTTAAAATAGGACCTTCAGGGACTCTTAGACTGGGACCTTCAGGGACTCTTAGACTAGAACCTTCAGGGACTATTAGACTAGGACCATCAGGAACTCTTAGACTAGGACCTTCAGGGACTCTTTGACAGGGACCTTCAGTGACTCTTAGACGAGTACCTGCAGGGACTCTTAGACTGGGACCTTAAGGGACTTTTAGACTAGGACCTTCAGGGACTCTTAGACTGGAACCTTCAGGGACTCTTAGACAGGGACCTTCAGGGACTCTTAGACAGGGACCTTTAGGGACTCTTAGACTGGGACCTTCAGGGACTCTTAAAATAGGACCTTCAGGGACTCTTAAAATAGGACCTTCAGGGACTCTTAGACTGGGACCTTCAGGGACTCTTAGACAGGGACCTTCAGGGACTCTTAGACAGGGACCTTCAGGGACTCTTAAAATAGGACCTTCAGGGACTCTTAGACAAGGACCTTCAGGGACTCTTAGACAGGGACCTTCAGGGACTCTTAGACTGGGACCTTCAGGGACTCTTAGACTGGGACCTTCAGGGACTCTTAGACTGGGACCTTCAGGGACTCTTAGACTAGGACCTTGAGGGACTTTCAGACTAGGACCTTCAGGGACTTTAAGTCTTAACTTGTCTATGATTTTATTTTAAATGTAACTCCTCTTTTTGGTTCATATTTTCACAGTTAAGGGTAAAATATTTCCCTTTGAAATCATTTCCAATTTGTAGTTTTTTATTCTGACCCCCCTAAAAGTGTCTTGTGACGTCATATGTCTGAGCTCACATGATGTCAATGTCCATAATCCTGGACCAGTCAGAGTCATTAAAATCCGACAGATATCAGATTCAGCGCTCTGACTTAATGTTTCCTTTATCTCCTTTTTTTTCCCCCTACAGGAGCTCAGACTCTGATGGAGCGTTTGAGACGCCTGAATCCACGACTCCAGTGAAGGCCGCTTCTCCTACAGAGCCGCAAACACAACATCTACCATTCGATGATATAGGTACGGTTAACCCTCATGCATTACTACATTTTTCCTCTTTATCTGGCCATCATTTTGCCTGTGTTAGTGCATATGGCAGACATTTTTGGGCTGGAGTTGTTTAAGAGATTTATGCAGAAAAAAGTAGAAAAAACACATCAATCTGTTCTATTTTTATAGCAGTTTTTTTGAAAGTGGACATTTTTGTCCTTGTTGTAAATTAAACTGATGCCTGAGGGTTAAGGGATGTACTCCTTTTTATGTTCTTTACTCCTGAACAGCATGATTATATTTCAGAGTGTTGTTGCAACATCTAGTGGAATAAAGCAGAGTTTCAATCTGGCTGAGGGGGAAACACAGGAGGTGTTTCTTTCTACGGCGGTGCAGGGGTTAATTTTACATCTAGAAGGTTCCTGGTTCAAATTCCCCGTCAGACACGACCTTTCCATGTTCCCCTCTGTGCATGTGTGGGTTCACTTGATAGTCTTCATCACACCATTTGATTACTGGTCCCAGTTTGGCTTTGTGATAATAGAGTAGAATATAGAATAGAATTACTTTATTGATCCCAAACTGGGAAATTGTGTTGTTACAGCAGCAGGTTATCAGAGCAAATAAAACAATATACGAATAGATACAAAGTAAATAAGCACTTAGAATATAAAAAATAAGAATAAGAAGAGATTTATACATCAAGGATGTAACTGAACATTCTTACTGGTTAAAAAAATGAAAAATGAAATACAACATTTATTCAGGCTTGTCAACTGAATGTAAAAATACTTGCTGGAGGTAAGAGATGTAAGATTGCAAAAACAGTGATGACAGTGGTAAATATGTTATAACAATATAGAGGCTTCTCTAGAGCTGTGCAATCAAAGATATAAATGTTAAAGTGCAGGAGTGTAGATACTTTATCAGTTGAAACTATTCACTATAATGATGAGCAGTCAGACAATGTCGTTAACTTAAATGTAAGGATGTAAGGATAGTGTGTCATGTAATCATAATAAAGACGAGGGGGTTTTAAGATATCTAGTAGAGCTGCCCAATCATCCCAGTCTCTTTCATCGCTTTCCGTCCAACTGTGAGACACTTCCTGAATTATTTAAAGCACATTCATCTCTATGATTAAATGTGTCAGAAGCCAGCTGCAGATCTTATCTCCCCTGCAGGTTTTCCTGGATCACACCTGCCTCATTTTCACAAAGTTAAAAATATGATAATCCCGATTTATTTTAATCTGGATTTCACATTTTAGGCAGTTGAATTAAACCTCTTATTGTCTCTCCATCTTTTTGCAGCAGGAGCAGACTTCTCGTTCTCTGATCCCGCCTCTGACTTGACCTCGGCTGACAGACCCTGCAGATCCCCGTCTATCGTCTTCGATGAGGACCGGCCCATCGCAGCGAGCGGTACTTACAACATTGAAGTTTTGGCTTCAGACACGTCGACTCACACTCTAACACGTTCTCAGAGTCTCCAGGGAGGGGAGCTCGACGCCGATGCTGACGGCAGTCTGATCGAAGGATTGACGGCGGGAGGTTTTCATTTACATTCTGAATCCTTCAGCGTGGGGACCGAGAGCGCACCCGGGACCCTCCACAGGCCGAAGAAAGTCCGCCCGGGGTCTTTGAAAAAGAAACCGTTCCTAAGACAGAACTCCAACCCGGAGAGTCCGAGGCCGGCGTCATCCGGCGGCACCCCGGAGATCAACAGGAGGGCAAAGCCGAGAACCGCCAGCCCCCTGCAGGCTCAGGAGGAGGCAGACGGAGGATCTGCGACCCCGAGTCCCGGAGGAACACTCAGAAAGACCAGGAAGAGCCGAGTGGTGACTCCCCCCCCTCTCCCCGAGGAGACCGGTCACACAATCCCCGCCTTACCCTTGTGCCAGGAGGAGACTCCTCCCCCTTGTAGTCCACCGAACAGAGAGGAATCCCCCATCCCTCCGGCGACCTCCTACCAATGGGATCCAGATAACTTTGACAACATCGACCCTTTCAAAACTGGAGGAAGTAAAATAGCAAATTCCCCCGTCCTGGGCCGTAAAGATCCTGTGTGCGCCGCCGTTTCTGACCCTCCAGAAAGCCCCGCTGTAGATCCGAGTCCTCCGAGTCCTCCGGCTCTCAAAGAGTCGACCGCCGACCCCGAAGAGCAGCCCATCCTCCCCAAACGTCAGCCGGTAAGACTGGAGTTTGACTATTCCGAGGAGGGCAGCGAGGCGTCCCACAGGGCCTCCCCTCCCCCGCCCAAGAAAGTGGGCAAGAAGCCGGGTGGCAAGATGCCTCTGAGGAAACCGAAGCTGGGTCTGAAGAAGGCCCCCCCGGCGCAGACCGAGCAGCTGGACAACAACCCTCCGGACTCTTGCAACGGAAACGATGAAGAGATCCCCGTTCACAAAGGGTCATACAACTTTGAACCCGACAAGTGGGACGATCCAAACTTCAACCCGTTCAGCCCGAAGAAAGGTGTCGGCAACTCGCCCAAACTCCCCAGGCCGTCTCATAGCTTCAACTCCGATGACTTCGACGACTCGATAGACCCGTTCAAATCCACCAACAAGATGGCCGACTCTCCCCCTAAGGCGTCCGCCTCGTTCGATGTGTCGTCCAGCGACTTTGACAACGACAACGAGAATGACAACGTCGCAGAACTGGGCGACCAAAATCAGAACAAACCGGCCAAGAAGAAGAAAACTCCCATCAAATCGTAAGTTCACAGTTAAGTTTCTAGTGTGGGAATGTTTGTGTGTAAAGATATAATAATATGCATCTTTCAGAGAAGATGTCCAGTAGATGTTTCACTTCAGCACCAGTTTCTAAGACTAAAACAAAACATCACTTTGGCAGAACCTCCTCTGATCCTAAGCCTAACCGCCTCTGACCGAGGGGCGGCCATTTTTAGGACTGATGTCCTGATTCTGATATGTCGCTTAAAGATGATTTATTTTCATGTTTCTTTTTTTTTCAATTATTTTATTTGAATTCTTTTTACCCCAAACATTAGACACATTGCTGATGATGAAAAAAAAAAAACATTCACACACCAACATCAATTAAAAAAAGCAAAAAAACACAAAACAAAAAAAAAGACATGTTATATGTTTCTTTGAATTATTTTAAACCAAACAAAGTCTTTTCTTCGGTTTGGAGTTCTTGAGTTGTACTCCTGCGACGACACTCAGCCATAATGCCTCCTCTAATAGCGTCACTGATTGGGTCGGGCCGTCTCTCTTTCCCCTACGGGACGGGAGGGCTAATGGTCTGAGATAGAGGGGTTCATGCAAACAAACAAACATGTATGCGACGTGTTTGAGCCTCTAAGAGACATATATATAATTAAAAATTAATTACCAAGTGATACATTTGGTTAGGATGGATTTGATATCTGGCTGCACGGTGGTGGAGTGGTTAGCGCCTCACAGCGAGGAGGTTCCTGGTTTGAATCCCCGTCTGACAGGAAGTCTCTCTTTGCATGTCTGCATGTTCTCCTCGTGCATGTGTGGGTTCTCTCCGGCTTCCTCCCACAGTCCAAAGACATGCTCGTTAGGTTAACTGCTGACTCTAAATTGCCCGTAGGTGTGAATGTGAGTGTGGCTGGTTGTCTGTCTTTATATGTCAGCTCTGTGATTGGCTGGTGGCCAGTCCAGAGTGTAACCCCGCCTCTCGCCTATAATGACAGCTGGGATCTGCTCTAGCCCTCGGCGACCCTGAACGGGATGCATTTTTAAAATTGACTATTTTAATGTTTGCATGTTATACCTTGAAGATGAGTGTGTGCGTGTGCGTGTGCGTGTGCGTGTGCGTGTGCGTGTGCGTGTGCGTGTGCGTGTGTGTGTGTGTGTGTGTGTGTGTGTGTGTGTGTGTGTGTGTGTGTGTGTGTGTGTGTGTTTCTCATCTGCTGCTCCTGTACTGTCTGTCTGTCTCTCTGTCACCTGTGTCTGTGTGTTCTCGTGCACCACAGGAAGTCCAGGGGTGTGTCTTCTCTATGTTGTCTGTTGTAAGTACAGGGGCAACACAAAACCATCCTCCCGTTTGAACCCTTCACACGTCACCCCCTCCTCCTACTAACAGAAACATCACGCCCCCCTTTTACACATTTTTATAAATCCAGCTCATTTTAAACGTGATGACACGTAAATGTTCCATTTACTTTAATCAGATGACTAAATATCTTCTTTACATCAGTTCACCAACTGCTTCTCTCTGCAAGTGTGCATCAAAGAAGGTGCTTGGGCTCTCCCTTGTGGTCACTTTTGGTACTTGTTGAAAAACGTAAATCCACACAGCATACATGTTTATTATGAAATACCATTCATATGAATTATAATGCAGCAAAAAAAACGATAAGGACAGCACTCCAAATTTTGTATTTGGAGTGCTGTAACAGAAAGCAACAGAAGAAAAACATCATAATTATGAGGATAAAATCTCCTGAAATGTGTTTTAATCCTAACTCAAGGACCTCCACAAATCTTTAAAATCTTGTCTAAAAGGTTATGACCAAACATTTGAATCAAAGATCCGCACTAACCTGCTACATTAACCCCACATTCATTCCACCGTCCTCTCGTGCATTATTTGAAAACTAAACTTGTAAACTTGCTCATAAAACAACTTTGGTTTCACAAACGGTCTGGACTTTGCAGCCGCTCACAAAAAGATGTAATCCTCTTTGAAAACATTCCACTGTTTCTTTCATTGCAGCCACTCACAGACTTCAGTAAGTAGTTCACTTAGAGAAACTCTCCCGCAGCTCCATGCGACTATTTTTCCAGATATTGTTTTTTTTCAACACTTGTCGGATATGTAGCAGATAAAAGTCACCTCGACTTATCAGACAGCTGAAGGCGCTGAGCGACTCTGGATCTTTGATGGCTGATTGTTTTTCTCTTTTTCTCAGTAACACTTTCAGAGTGAAGCGGTCGCCCAAGAAATCTCCGCTGTCTGAACTTTGTCAGGTGTGTACTTTTTGTTTTCCTCCATGTGTATAAATCTCTCTCCCACGCTCCGTTGTCCCTCCTGCCTCTGACTCTGACTCTGCCTCCTTTTTTTCTGCCTCAGGATCCTCCACCCGCAGATGAACCCTCCTCTCTGCACGCGCAGGACGACCACGCCACCGACGAGGAGAAGCTGGCCTCTTCCACGGGTCACAAGTGGAACCTGCACGACATGGAGGCGGACTTGAACTCCGACCAGCAGGACTTCCCTCAGCCGAGTGACCTCACGTCCTTTGTGAACGAGAGCAGTCTCCCTCACCGGGCTCCAGGTGAGGCTCAGCCGTCCGGACTCTGTTAACACATCATGCTAACAGAGATTTATTTTTTATTTTATTTAAGCAGGAAAAAGTCTCATTGAGATTAAAAATCTCTTTTTCAAGAGCGTCCTGGCCGAGACAGGCAGCAGCACAACTACAGGGTTTCAGACATAAAACACTTAACAACAATGAACATAAATACAGGAATCACAAAAAGAACCATTCATCAGAATCTGTCATAAGTCATGAGCAACAAAGCGATCAAAAAGGGAAATACGAGTTAGTTAAAACATCTACAGTCAGATATTTCTGCCTCCAGATCACTAAGATTAAAAAAACATTCAAGGAAACCAGCTCCAGAAGATTTAATGGTCCCATATTCTTCTTTTTCTGGTTTTATATGCTCTTTAGTGTGTTTTCCATGTGTCCTGTGCATGTTTAGGCACATCTATGTGCAAAAATTCAAAGTGTGTGGAAACCCAGCTTCTCCTACCTCCTCCTGTTAGCTGTAGCATTAGCTGCATGTAACGCTCGGTTCTAGCCCCCCTCAATAAAAAATTGTCAGTGGGACGTCTTGTCAGTGTGAGATCACTGATCTAAGCCCATTGGCTCGTTGTGGCCCTGCAGCTCATGTTGAAATTTCCAAGACGCGTGCTGAGCAACTGACCAATAACGACAGAGCGGATCGGCAGACCAATCAGAACAGACTTGGCCCACGTGGGGTCTAACAGTGTGGGCTCAACAGAGTGTAGCTGACGGACTCAGAGCGGAGAGGGAGCAAGGAGGAGCAGTTCATGAAAACAGACACTTTTTTTAACTTTATCTATTGTGAACGTACAAAAGTAGGAACATAGATTAAATATACGAACCCCAAAAAGGGCAGAATATGAGATCTTTAAAGTTATCTTGCAACTGATTCCAAGAAGAGGGAGCAGCATACTTGAACGCCCTTTTTTCCTAATTCAGGGATGGCTTTAGGGATGGTTAGAAGGTGTAAATCCTGTGAAGCAAAGATGGTAACTTCCATTTATTCCAATTAGCTCAAAGGGACTTTAATCAGGCTGCATTGCCATTTACGGCAAAACATCCACTTTGTTCTTTACTTAACCAGCAACTTTATAGATGTGTGTGTCGGCCTGCTGGCCTCGTCCTCTCCTGACCTCCAGAGGTCTGAGCGGCTCGACTCATCCGGGTCAGACATGAAAGACAGAAAGGGATAGCTCTGACTCAAACTCTGAGGGCTGACATGACTCTCTCTCTCTCTTTTCTTTTTCTGCATTTTAATTTTTTTTTTTTGTCTCTCTGTGTGTCAGCACAAGACTATGAAATCGAGTACATGGAGAAGATCGGCTCCTCCTCGCCTGTGAGTATTTCCTGTTAAATTGAGTAAAATCTGCTGCTGCATTCTTAATTTTTAAAGAGGTGTATTTTTCGATTCAATATTATATTTGACTCTATTCTCGCGTGTGTCTTGCAGCCGCTGTCCCTGAAGAAGCCGTCTTTGTACCTGAAGCTGGACTCTGTGTCGGACAGCTTAACCAAGAATATGCACAAGCATGGATCAGAGCCCAGCTCCCCCTGCACAGGGTACAACACACACTCCACTTCACTGTGTTCATGTGTGGACATTATGTCTGCATGGTCATTTATGGTCATGAGCTGTGAGAGGTGACAGGAAGAATAAGATCGCTGATGCAAGCGGCCAAAATGAGATTCCTCTGGAGGGCGTCCGGGTCAGTCTTAGAGAGAGTGGGAGGAGCTTAGACGTTCAGGGGGAAGCTCGGAGTAGAACTCCTTTGCATCGAAAGGAGCCAGCTGAGGTGGCTCCTGACGCCTTCCTTTTGGAGGTTTTCCGGGAATGCCCAACTGGGAGGAGAACCCCGGGGTAGACCCAGAGTTTTTTTATTTTTATTTTGTGGCTGATAAGATAAGATAAGATCAACCTTTATTCATCCCATCATGGAGTCATTTACAGTCTTACAGCAGCATCATTACTCTACAAACATTTGGTCGTTTGTCTTTACATTTTAATTTGGAAGGCTGTCAGAGGATGTTTTTTCAATTCTTTATTTAGAGGATGGTTGAGAGCAATTTACAGACATTTAGTCATGCAGTTAACACTGGAGTGATTTTATATCCCGTCTGGCCTGGGAACACCTGGGGGTTCACCAAAGGGGAGGAGCTGGAAAATATTGTTGTGGAGAGGGAAGTCTTTCTGACACCGCGATCCGACTTTTGATAAGCAGAAGAAAATGGATGGATATATATTTATATTTTTCCAAATCTTTTTATTACATTTTTGCAGAAAATACAACATGATGTCACATAAGAGTAAAATCAGAGCATCTGCATAGAGTAAAACAAAAAGCCCCAATTAAACAGAAAAACAAGACAATAAAATAATAAACACCCATTTACCCTCCCAACCCGCATGGATGGATATTTTATGCAATTCATAGTCCAAGAGTGTAGAACTAATTATTTGTATTATTTATCTTTTATTTAAAAAGGAAAGAAACTTGTTGAGATTAAAAATCTACTTTTTCAAGAGCGTCCTGAGACCAGCAGCATCACAACTTACAGATTTTAACACAAACAACGAGCAGCAAAACACAAATAGAAATGATTGTGACGGCTTTAGACTAAGCCACTGACGTCCAGGATATTTCATTCTGTTATTGCACATAAATATTTCTCATGCTAGAATATGGCACAAGACCCATAAAGACCCCACATCAAGCTTACTTTATTTTTAAACCTCAACTTTGATATTTTTATTTTTTATTTTTTTATTTATCCTTTATTTTAGCCGGGAGGACCCACTGAGACCGAGCTCTCTTTTCCAGGGGTCCTCTGCAGCAATACAAAAATAGAAACCGCACAAATATAAACATATTAACAGTTAACAATAATAGCATCTGGACACTGAAACACATATTCACACATGTAAACCATCTCCGTTTAAATGAATTCACATTGTGAAACAGTTGCAATTCCCTTCCCCCTTAGTTTGGACACGAGGTCTTTAAAAACGCTTAATGAAACAAGAGAGGGCAACTTAGCTCTCCTCTGAAGGTCATTCCATTTAATGGGTGCAGCAACACAAAAGGCAGTCTTTCTTTCTTTTACTTGTGGTGTATTTATGAGTGCTGAATCGTAACTGAATCATAATGACTTACACTGCATCGTACATCCTGTTAAAGCATTTTTCATTAACACACCCATCAGTTATACACAGTCCATTAAAAGCCGTGTCACTCTCTCTCCCCTCCCTCTCTCCCTCTCCTCTCTCTCTCTCACTCTGTGCAGGAGTTTTGAGGAGATGGAAGCCCAGATCTCGGCGGGTATGAAGATGCCGGTCCTGAGCACACGGCCCGGTCCCGAGGGCTCCGCCGGGGATAAGGGCAGGAAGAGAGAGAGCGAGTCGCTCAGCCGAACGCAGAGCACAGAGAGGGACGAGCAGGTGAGCCCAGGGTCATCATATCTGTTGAATCAGTCAGGTTCTGTGTGGGTGTGTTGTCACTGTTGTCATGTTAGGAGAATCTGTCCACTTTTATTTTGTCACATTTACATCATCATCATTGTACTCCATGACCCGGCCCGGCCCCTCCAGAACCAGCACCATCAGTCACACTGATTCTCATTACAGCCCTGTCACTGATAACACACACAGCCTCTCTGCCACATCAGATTTAACTCAGTGACTCAGCTCCCACTGCTGCCACTCAAAACACTCAGCGCTTGCTTTGCCTTGCTGACCCCTCCTCCCCTGCCTCTGCCTAATCCCCCCCCCCCGGTGCCCCCCTGTAGCCCCCTAGCCAAGGCCCCGTGGAAGCTCCAGCCCCGGCTATGCCCCCGTTAGACATGCTGTCCGAGTGCGACGACCCCCTGCAGTACCTGGAGTCCGACCTGGCCGAGACCAACCCTACCGCATTCGCCCAAAAACTACAGGTGTGTTCTCAGATGTCACATGACCCCCCCCCCTCTGTGTAAAAACCTTCCAGGGCTTTTCCCTCAATCTCTTGCACTCATATGTGATTTTGTGTTCTCCCATTGTCCTCACCTTTTTACATCCTGGTTTCTCTCCATCACTCCTCCTCCTTTTTACCTCTTAAGTTGCAGTTTTGTTTTTGAGGCTTTATTGGGTGAAATAGATTGTGTGTGAAATGTACAGCAGCAGAACTCAAGTCTTTTTATGTTTTCCCTTTGCTCTCTCATCCTTGGGCCGCAACCCCCCCCCCCCCCTTTTTCCTCCCCTCCCTGTGAAATCCACCTACCCCCCCCCCCACCCCATCATGTGTGCGGCCCAGGAGGAGCTGGTGCTTGCTGCCCTGAGGATAGAGGCACTGCAGGTAGCCAAAAACATCTCTCAGTGCCCCTCCCTCTCCACTGTAACCCCCCAGGTACTGCGTTGAGTCCTGCACCTGCTGTAAGCGTGTGTGTGTGTGTGCGTGTGTGTGTGTGTGAAAAAAGCATCTTGAATGAGTGATTAGAGCAGGTCTGTGCGAGCATGAGTGTGTCTCAGCTTGCCCCCCCCCCCCCCCCCCTCTAAACACACCATTCTGAGTGTGCTGTGAACTCATGGCAGCTGCACCTTCTTCATCCGCAGTCCTGCCTCCTCTTCAGCCCCCCTTCATGTGAAATCTCTAACATGGCTTAGCTCCCCCCGCGCGCTAACTAACTAGCAACGAGCACTCCCCAGGTCGACTCCACAGGACCGGATCGATGTGCCTTCTTTAGTCCCTCGCCCTTTTACGATGCATGTTGGGGCAACGTGCATGTTGCCTGTCCCTTAGAGGCTTACATGAGCATGAATGTGACCGGGGAAATGTCATCCATTAGACCCTAACATCTGCAGCTAAGGATTTGTTAGGATATGTTATTTCTACTTACTAAAATCCCAGTCACATTCCTGTTTTGTGATTCGGTCCTTTTCCTCAGACTAACAACACTAATAAACAGCTGAATCAGGTAGGTGTCAGGAGGCAGTTTGGTTGGAGTTTTGGAGGATATTTTCCTGGTGTCAGAATCAGTAATACTTTATCATTCCCAGGGGGGACATTTGTTAAATTGAGGTCTTGTGCAGAGGAGATGATCGGAGGTGAATCTACATTGTTTAGTCAATGGAAAAACTCTGGTAGTAGTAGCTGGAGCAGCTCAGGCGCCTCGTTGTTCCTCCTGTGTCTCATGATGTTGTCCCAAACACTTTACAGTCTCGACTCAAGAAACCCAGCAATCGTCGGTGGAATATCAACGGTTCACCCTTACTCAAAGTAAGAGTAACAGTTAACCCCCTGTGACATATCCTCGCCCCTAACCCAACGACAGTGCAGTCCGTGTAGTGGGTTGAAAACCTTTCTTCAGTTTGAAATAACAAAGAAGTCAAAGATCTGACCTCCAGCCTTAGCTTTCAAAAGTGACTGAAGCCCTTTAAAGGATACTTCCAAACATGTTTGTGCTGCACAGACTATGACGGGGCCGTCATTCTTTTGCTGTTAATCTAGTTTGGATGTAAATGCCTTCTTTAATCAAGACTGTATGTCTGCAGCCTGGCTGCTCTCGTCTGGATGCATGAAGCCCCCTGAGCTTCTAATTTTCAACATAAAGCTCCGGAAATAAAAATATCTGCAGTGTACATGTGATATATTACAAACATACCAGGTACTTATACATTCAAGACTTGAAGAAGATTTAAACGTCTTTTCATTCATACATTCATTTGGGCTTGTTGTAAACCTCGGGCTTCTTCACCATCTTCTAAACTACTGTCTTCTTTTGGCGCGGTGGTAATGTTTGAGTAGACTGTAAATATGAATTAATGCGCGAGTTCGTAAACTGCTTCTTGACCCAGTGCACTTGCCGTTGTAAATTTGTGGAGGAGCACATGAGACGAGAGCACACAGACGAGAGAGCGCCAGGATGCAGCCATACCCAACTCTCTTTAATGTAAGCTGAATTTCTGGTCCTCCTAGTGGTTGAGCACAAAACTGAAACAAGTGTCTGAAAAACTGCAGACTGCACTGTGTAAAATAACTCCTGTAGACCCTGAAGGTCCTAAAGACTGAGACCAGAACATGTTTAGCTGCACCTGATAGCATCCCCTCCTTTTACACGTCTAGTTTTGGGTTATTTTGTTATTCCTGCAGCACCTCTAGTACCTTCAGTGTCCACATTCTTTGTTGAGTTGTTCTTAAAGTCTGGGTGGTTCTGGTCTAAAGGACTGCTCCTGCAGGCGTTGTTAAAATGTTTGCAGATTACTCGACGTGTGAACCAGGACAGTTTTGATGAGGTTGCTTTGTCAGCACATTGTTATCCTCTTACCCTGAAGAAGCAGCGACGCAGTAAGGATACACGTTTAGTTTTTTATTTCATCCGATTTGTGTTGCAGGCATTATTTGGGGGGATTGTCTCTTTAGGACAGAGCTCTGAGCAAAAGTTTCCCCCACAAAGTGACATCACAGTAAGCTTTGGATACCTGGATATGTTATCTGTATAAAAACGCCGAGGTGGGAGGTAAGCCCATCTGACTCCGTCTAAAATCAAAACAAGTTCTTCCCTGTTAACAAAAAAACCTGACCTTACCATCTCACCCCATGTTCACTAAAGCTGCTTTCACACATGCACTCCTGAAATTTTCTGGACAATTTCCTGCAGGCTGCTCCTGAAATCTTCCTTGATTTGCTTTTTCAAACGTGCCCCTCACAACAGGAGACAATCCATGATGGACAGAGGGGAAGGGAAGTCAGAGAAGGCAAAAAAGGACACAAAAGAGTAGGACAAAGTGTGACGCTAGGAATGCAGTTCTTTTTTAGCTTTAGCGCTGATGCTACGTGTAGTTTGAGACATTTATATCAACAAGAGAGAGGAAAAGAACATACATGTACAGTCTATGGTTGTGTGCCAGTCAAAGGATACGAACGTCACCACTCGCTCCTTCTAGCTTGCTTTAGATTGTCCTAAAATCTTTCCTGCAGTATTCGAACATCGACTCCCCTCGACTCCCCTCGACTCCCCTCGACTCTCCTCGACCCCCTCGACTCCCCTCGACTCCCCTCGAATCCCCTCGACTCTCCTTGACCCCCCCTCGACTCCCCTCGACTCTCCTCGACTCTCCTCGACTCCCTCGACTCTCCTCGACTCCCCTCGACTCCCTCGACTCTCCTCGACCCCCCCTCGACTCCCCTCGACTCTCCTCGACTCTCCTCGACTCCCCTCGACTCTCCTCGACTCCCCTCGACTCCCCTCGACTCTCCTCGACTCCCCTCGACTCTCCTCGACTCTCCTCGACTCCCCTCGACCTTAACACAGAAAATGTACCACAGGACCTGCAGGAAAGTTTCTGGGTAAAGTCAGAGGGGACACTCATCTAACTCCCAAGACATTTTCAGGAAGTCAGGGCGCCGGTGGCCAAGTGGTTTGTGCGCCCCATGTGCAGAGGCCTTAGTCCTTGAGGCGGGCGTCCCACGTTCGAGTCCGACCTTTGACTCCTTTCCTGCATGTCATTCTTCTCCACTCACTCTCGCCCTGGTTTCCTGACTCTCCCCACTGTCCTGTCTTTCAGGGAAATAACTTTTCCAGGAGTTTTCTGCATGTGTGAAAGCCCCATTATTAACTCTCTTATCCTCATATCAGTGGATCTGTATCTATGTGCCCCTGGTGTGCCCCCCCCCCACTATTTAATCAAATCCTCCAATAATCTGGCTCTCTTAAGGATAACTAAACCCTCACCCAGAGCAGAGTTTCAGCAGAACAAAAATGGTGCAAGAATCAGGATTGTCTTTGATTGGTAATGGAGGATCTGTTGCTGGTTGTGGTACTCTGCTTCAAAGGCCACATGGACACAAGTTTTCAGGACACAAACTTTTACTTCCAAGTATTCCACCTCTCATCAGAGTCTTTCTAAATGTAGGAGAATAGGGATAACACTGTACCACCAGGCTACAGTTTAAACTAAGATTCTTGCTTCAACAGGTAAGACAGGTTTTCTTTGTTAATAAGCTTTAACATGAAACTAACATGAGTTTCAAATGCTGCCCACCCCCCCCCCTCCTTGTATATGATGCAGTGTTGTCCTGTATCAGCTGCTGCCCTCCTTCCTCTCTGCCTTGCCTGGACCCCGATCACATCCGAGCTCCTGCAGTGAGCCGGGGCGATCGTGAGCGCTCAGCCGGGGGGGCAGCATCAGACAAATCACTCGGCTTATACTGTGGCAATGAAGACGGTTTCATCCAATCATGTGTGTCGGCTGCTGCTGACCGAGTCTTCAGGAGCATCACTAGCCTGCCTCATTTACATACTGATTTTTTTTGCTGCGTGGTTTTCATTTTGATAAGAGTTTGATGCTGCCTTGCGATCCCGATTTGGTTCAGTTATCCTGATGAGACTGATGTGAGGGTGTCCCATCTGCTCTGGTTTTTTAACCCATTATGTTTCCTTTCATGTCCCTCCTCTCCTTTGTTCCCTGGAAGCAGCACAGAGACCTGTCCTCGCCCGTAGAGAGCGCCGTGTCCAAGAACTCCCTGTACACCAGGACCAACAGCAGCAGTTACATCGACGGGGAGAGCCCCCACCTGCCCGGAGAGCTGGACCACTCGCTGGGCATCGCACGAGAGGAGGTACCCCCAAATATGCTTCTCTTTGTTTTTATAAAATCATGAGTACAGAAATATAACTTTTTAGAGATTGCATTGAGAAGAAAAGTTTACAGAGTGCTGAGAGAAACAAAAAGCAGGATGCTCGGAAACAGAAACCCAAACAACAGTAAAGAAGTGAAATCTCCTGTGAGGAACTTTGTGTTTCCTGATGGAAAATCTCTTCCTGCTGTTTTCAAACTTATCACTCACTCAGAATCTTTACTTTAAAAATGTTTTAAAAAGTTATTTTTTTTATTAACAGAAGGGTGATGTAAACCACCTGATCTGTGACCTCCACTGCAGCATCATTTAAAGGCATTAAAACATCTTTAAAGGGAAAATAAATCTCCTCGCTGATGGTGATATTTTGCATTTCTTAGCCTTATAGAGACATCAGCATTTATTCTGGTCTGTTTCATAGCCAGCTAACATCTCATATAGTATAGTATGCATATATTTTAACAGAATCACAATCTGAACTAAAGAGTGGAGAAGATAAATTGATAAATTGTATTTTTATTTAAAGCATATAAATAAAGGAGGATTAGTCCGGTGTGATCAAAAACTTTTTCCAGGTGTGAGTGTGAATGGATTGATTGTAACTTCAACATCTCAACCTGACCTGATGGTTTTATTTGTTCCCCTCTCAGATTGTGTCAAAGGAGAAAGAAGTGCTGGAGTGGCAGAGGAAGTATGAAGACAGCCGGCAGGAGGTGGTGGAGATGAGGTAAGAGTGAAGTCCCGCCCTCACACAACAACAACACACCTGTGCATGTGTTTATGTGCGATTGTTCTCTGTCCTAATGCTGACGGTCTTTTTTAAGACGTCTCCTGTTATCACCGTTTAACCTCTTAATAATTTAACTCGCTCTGAGTGTCGGCGCCACAGTGGACGGAGATTTACTTACTTTTTACTCGAGTGTGGAGGAGAGAAGAAGAGAAGAGGAGCAGATTAAATATTTATGTAGTTTAGATAAAACAGTTTGGTAGCTGAAATATTACAAGTTTTAAAAAGTACTCAAAGATGATCTGTGTAAAGCTGGTCTGTAAAAGTGTTTTAAGAGATTTAAAAGATGAAACTGATCGTGTGAGCCTCGTTTCCTCCAGCAGACTGTGCAGAGAAAAAAGCACGGTCATCTTTTGTCCTGAGCCCGGACTGTGGAACGACTAAAAGGGGGAGGATGTTAGGCTGCGAGTCGGCTCCTTCAGAAATGAAAGATCAGAGAGGGGCATTCGTTTCTGTAAAATCAGTAAAATCTTAAGATCGACTCTAAAACGTAGAGCTAACTCGTGCAGGTCTGGCCCCCTGAATGGGCCCTCTCATGATATTATTAAAATCAGGGTATGCACATTCGATCAGTAGTGTTAGCACTAGCCTCCTGGCTAACAGCTAGCCTCCTGGTGAGCCTGCCTAGTTCAAGTTCAGGTATCTTTATGAGTCAAATGCACAACATAACAGGCAAAGCAGTCATAGCTGGCAATGAAATGTTGGTGTTCCAAGCTCTCCTTAACAATGCAAAAATAAAAAATAGTATAGAAGTATATATGTTCCCACATTTCCTTTTTAGGGTTAGGGTAACTTAACTAACTTACCCTAACCCTACCCTGTGGGACCATAGGGCTGACCCCGCCTCCTGGCTAACAGCTAGCTTTCTCTGAGCTCGCTTGCGTCTTATCATTTCAAGAATAGGTGGTTTACAATTTACTGAAACAACAATACATAAAATGTGTGTTGTTGCTTTAAGAGGTAAAGGTGAGTATTTAGGTGTCAAATAACATTTAGTCATTGTTGCTGACATTTAGGATGGACCATGTTTTTGCTAACCTCCATGAGCCCTCCCCCCCGGAGACTGGGCCCCAGAAATCTGCCCCCTTTATCCCCCCTCATGGGCATCCTTAGATATCATCTCTACGTTTAAGCCCAGTTCAAATTCTTGCTGCAGCATCTTGGACGAGGCTGAGCCGTGTGGTGGTGTTTTAGTTGAGACAGAAAGCATGAACGGACCTTCTTCAGATCTGCATGACGTAGAAATGACTTTATTTTATGTGATACTACTAAACGGGTAAAAGTAAGACTGGAGCGCTCTGCTCAGCTGCCTGTCTGAAGTCAGGTTACTGTCAAAAATGGCCCCTAAAGTTCTTCATGCTGGCGCTAAGAGTCCTGTACGACCTGGTGGACATCCAGCCTATGAGGAGTTGAGGTAAAAATGGGATTAACTATATTTATATTTGGGGAGACGGATCATCATCATCATGTCCGGCTGATAATCGGGGTTCATGGAGGAGGAGATGTTTGCTGCTGAGACGTTGTTGTCTGTCAGCAGGTGGTGGGTGGGGGCCAGCTGGCCTCGGCTCAGATAGTGTGGATAAGAGAGAGCTTACTTCATTTGACTGATTGGGCTCAGGATAAGGACGAGCTAAGAAGCTAAGGGGCAGGCACGGCTAATCAATCCTCTTACCTCTGGCAACCTGCTTTAACCAAAAACGAGGCTTCCTATTGGACTAAGATGGTTGCTGGCTTTGAGAGGGGGGGGGGACTTCTGGAAAGAAGACTTAGAGGTCCCATATTCTTCTTTTTCTGGTTTTATATGCTCTTTAGTGTGTTTTCCAAGTGTCCTGTGCATGTTTAGGAACATCTATGTGCAAAAATTCAAAGTGTGTGGAAACGCAGCTTCTTCTACCTCCTCCTGTTAGCTGTAGCATTAGCTGCATGTAACGCTCGGTTCTAGTCCCCCTCGATAAAAAATTGTCAGTCCGACGTCATTGTCAGTGTGAGATCACTGATCTAAGCCCATTGGCTCGTTGTGGCCCTGCAGCTCATGTTGCACGCCCATTAACTTCTGTAGCACGCCCACGATATGCTGTAGCCTGCGGTAGCACAGTAGTGCTAACGTGCTAATGTTTATGCTCCCCTTGCACAGAGCCAGTGGCTGCATTCCCAATATGGTAAAAGAGGCGGGACATTTCCGAGAACCGTGCTGAGCAACTGACCAATAACGACAGAGCGGATCGGCAGACCAATCAGAACAGACTTGGCCCACATGGGGTTTAACAGTGTGGGCTCAACAGAGTGTAGCTGACGGACTCAGAGCGTAGAGGGAGCAAGGAGGAGCAGTTCATGAAAACAGACACTTTTTTTAACTTTATCTATTGTGAACGTACAAAAGTAGGAACATAGATTAAATATATGAACCCCAAAAAGGGCAGAATATGAGATCTTTAAAGGGGAAACTGGATGCAGGGTTTCAAATTAATAAAGGAATAAAAAGATTACATTAGAGGATACCTGAAACTTCAAACTAAGCCTACTCAACATGGGAAACATTTTAAAACCAAGGACAGAGATACAGGAGGGTGTTTGAGGAGAACTCAAAATCTCGTTGTTAAAATCATTTAAAATATGATCCACGTCTGATGCTAGCGATGTGAGCTAACGCTAGCTGTCCTCCTGTGGCTGCTACCCGTCTCACCTCTGACCTACCTCTCAACATTTCTGGAGCCAGCGGTCTGAAACATCCTCTAAACGTCGGCAACATGGCCGTCAATACACAGCTGAGAGTTATGTGCACAATGTGACAATCACAGCAGCATCAATTAGAGTTAAGTGCTACAGATCGATGCGGAAAAAGATAGACGCCTCATTTACTGTCTCAGCCAAAAGGAGCTGTCACACGTCAGCGCTGCTCGTACTGCTGGGTTGGTAACTTAAATCAGCAAACAGAACATCATTATAGCTTGATGCTAGACGTTTATATGTTTTAAATATCAGTCATATAACCATCAATCCATACATTTATTATCTATACTGCTGTCTCCCGTTCGGGGACATGGGGGCCTGGAGGCGATCCCAGCTGTTATTGGGAGACAGACGGGGTACAACAGCCAATCACAGAGCTGACATATAGAGACAACCAGCCACACTCACATTCACACCTACGGGCAATTTAGTCTCCAGTTAACCTAACGAGCATGTCTTTGGACTGTGGGAGGAAGACGGAGAGAACCCACACATGCACGAGGAGAACATGCAGACTCCACACAGAGAGACTTCCTGTCAGACGGGGATTCAAACCAGGAACCTCCTCGCTGTGAGGCGCTAACCACTGCACCATCATTCAGCCATCAGTCATATAATCAATGACATAAACAACATTCCTTCACTTCATGGAACAGGATGAAAAATACTGCCTGGTATTCCAACTAAGTCACTTTCAACCATGTTTGGTCACTAAATTTAGGTAAAAATTTCACTGAAACAGGGTTAGTGCGCGCGCCCCATGTACAGAGGCTATGGTCTTCCAAGTGGGCGCCCAGGTTCGAATCCAGCCTGTGGCTCATTTCCCGCATGTCCTTCCCTACTCTCTCTCTCTGTCCCTGATAACCGACTCTATCCACTGTCCTATCTCTCCATTAAAGCCCCAAAACAAATCTTAAAAAAAATTAAAAAGAATCACTGAAACGCACTGAAAAGACTCAGCCCAGGCCAAAGTTTATCCAACAGGAAGTAGCCCAGCAACGGTTGCTATGAGAGGGGAGCTTTCTGATTGGTGGTCAGCAAACCAGTCAAGAGCCAACAAAGGGTCAATATCCCCCTGGAAATTTTAACTCTGCACTGTAACTTTTAACTCTTTTTATATTTTTACTTTATTTATTTCAATTAATTTCATTTGAATTATTTTTATTTGAACATATGTTCAGATTTAATAATTTCAGTGATTTTTAAATGTTCTATTTTAATGTTTCTTTTCTTTCCTCTGTCATGATGCTTTTGATGTCTTGTGTGAAGCACTTTGAATCGCCTTGTTGTTGAAATGTGCGACATAAATAAACTTGCCTTGCCTTGAAATAATGTGTTTAACTGATATCAACTCTTCCATATTCTGATAGTCTTCGTCTTGTCTTCCACAGGAGGATCGTTTCAGAGTATGAGAAGACGATTGCTCAGATGATAGGTGAGTTCAAAGTTCAACACTCTTTGTCAATGCATTATAAAACCTGAGCGTTCATCCCGTGTTACAGGACCCGCTGAGTTTGCAGCACACGTTGAATTTGTTATTTAAATACTCTGCCATCACTGCAGCACATGTTGATTTAACAAACTGAGAAAACAATCGTGTAAAAAGGTCTTTGTGTGACACTAAGTTTAAGTCTGTCTCTAATCCTCTGACACGAGCTAGCTCTGCTTTGTGCTCACTTTTCATGTTCGACTTGTATGAACCCCGATGTCTTCAGAGGGGCCGACATGCTCACCTCTTCACACTCCCGTCCAGCTTCTCTGGACTCATTAAATCCCTTTGCAGGGTCACTCTCTGCATAACTCCCGCTGCTCTCATCCACTTCACCAGCTCTGAGCATTCCTGAACGTTTGATTTTTTTCCCGCAGCTGTCTTAATTTTCTCATTAAAGCACCGTCACAAAACGGATCGACCTGTCTCTGCTTCTGTCTTAACACACTCGGCTCTCTCACCTGTGCTGCCCTCCCAGCTTGACTTAACACGGTCCCTTCTTTTTCTTTTCTGCTCCCATCTTTGCCCCCCTTCACTGTTTGATAACCCTGACAGGCATGCCAGGTGAGTAACGCGGCGTCGTCCTTCACTTGTTTCAGCTCACATCTTTCCACCCGTCCGTCCGTCCGTCAGAGAGGGGAGCAGACGTGCTCTCTCTCTCTCTTCATCTCATTGACTGACGTTTGTTTGTGCGTTTTGTTGCATTTCATCTTGTATGTGAAGCATTTAAATCTGATGGACTCTTTTTACATCGTCTAGTCAGCTGCACTCTTTATAGTCCCGATGTTTCGTCAGAATGATGCGACATGTTCCTCATAAATAAATCATAAAGTCTGTCCTGTGTAAATGTGTCTCTGAGTCCTGACTGTCTACAATGAGGGAGAAGCTCGAGTCCCGCTGGCTGTGTTGTTGTCAGAGCCGTGTTTACATGGACGGGACGGCCGGCTCCTCCCCTTGTGTATAAAAGCTGTTTTAGTCAAGAACTAGAGAGAAGAAGAAGAACATACTCACTGATTATTTGGATGTTAGTAAGAGTTTTTAGATCACAGTCGCATGTGAAGCTACGAGCTAACTAAAGAGCGCTAACATTAGCAAAGGGTGGTAAACACATATCTTGTGATGTGCATAAACAGCCAAGGAAACTATTCCATGCACATCTGCATTTTGTACATGTTGGCAAACATACTTCCTGCAGAATCAGCGAGCTGAGCAGGTTGGACTCCTAAGCTTGTGACGGGAAAGGAAAAGCTGGGAGGAGCTTTGCAATGTCATACTGAAGGATCTAGAAAAACTCATTAAGGCGGAGCCAGCTTTGTCTCGATGGTATTATTTATTTATTTTGGTGTTATGATCAACTGTCGCAAACAAATTTCCCCGTGGGATTAATAAAGTATTTCTGATTCTGATTGTGGTTTACACACTCGAACAGTATCAGGGAAGTTTTGAGGAGACAGTACAGATGTTTGTGCAAAAACGCAGAAAAGTAAAAATGTGTCAGGAAATCACAGCTGAAGAAAAACAAAAGTATGTGTACGTCTGTGACCTCTGCAGGAAATCTCCCATTGTTCCGTGTTTTTGTCTGCATGCTGCATTGGTTTGTCAGATATATATCTTCATAAAGTGTAGTATAAATACTGTACACTCATACTAACCCATGATTACATTGTGATGTATTGTCAAAGGTCAAATGTTTGTTTTTTGTGTATATGTTTAAGCCACTACATCAGACAGAGGACACGCAGGCAAACATTCTTTTTTAACTGCTTCCTTTTGATAACGAGTACATTGTGGTTGTTTTTCAGTCAGATTATTTATGTCATTATCTTGGAATAACAACTGGTTCTTTATCTAACGTTGTTGGGTGTTTCGCTTTGACCCACCTCAAATTATTCTCGCTCTGAGAAAATGACGGGAGCTCACTCAGCTCATCTAAGCTAGCTAGGCGCGGCTCCTGTGATGAGTTCATTTCAGTTCCTTTATTTCCCTCAAGATCTCAAGAAGTAAACTCATGACAAGAGGATCTGTGTCGTTATCTTGAGATAATAGATCTGTTTAGCCTGCCGTTTCAAGCAGCCCCCCTGTAACGTTTTTGCCTTCAATCTGAATGTTGCAGAGCCGTAATAAGGGGAAGAAATTATCCCCCCTCTGTACCGTCTTTGGAGGTAGTAACAAAGGCCTTATGGTTTCAGGGGAGTGTGTGTGTGTCTGTGTGTGTGCGCATGTCTAACAGTGTGTGTATGTGGAGCTCCAGCTGTGCAACGCTGACATTAAATGCAAATTCAAAGACTGGGAACGCCAATATTACACCCGTCGCTGAATCAATATGAATGTACAAAGACGGGAGCTTAGATACGGCACATGCAGAAAAGGAAGAAAACAACCAGAAATGACTCGTTATTACTGTGGGGAAAAAAAGTTAAATAAAATGTTTGGCTGTATGTCCGCTAAGAGGTTTTCCATCCTTTAGCACACACACTGATGATCTGATCTACTGTGTGTGTGTGTGTGTGTGTGTGTGTGTGTGTGTGTGTGTGTGTGTGTCCTTCAGAGGATGACCAGAAGGAGAAGTCTCTGTCCCATCACACCATCCAGCAGCTGATCATGGAGAAGGACCAGGCGCTCTCCGACCTCAACTCGGTGGAGAAGTCCCTGGCCGACCTCTTCAGACGCTACGAGAAGATGAAAGATGTTCTGGAGGGCTACAGAAAGGTGACACATTATCCACCTCTAATGAGCCGTCTCTACTTCGGCGAGATCGGCCTTGGAAATCTTCAAAAAACACAATGATTTTATGCCCCTTCTGGCGGGTAATTAAATGTGTTTATTTTTTTTTAGAATGAAGAGGTTCTGAAGAAATGTGCTCAAGAGTATCTGTCCCGGGTCCGTAAGGAGGAGCAGCGCTACCAAGCCCTGAAGATCCATGCAGAGGAGAAACTAGACAGGTGAGACTCTCGTTATATCACACTTACATTTACCACTAAGGACATAAAAAAACACAAACCACAAACTCACATTCATAAGGCTGAAATTGCAAACATAACTTTAAATAAGACTTTGAAAGACTTCTGAGGTCACACAGAGGTGACTTCTGAGTCTGTTATCTTACACCTGGAGCAACGAGGAACACAGCTTTTGTCACATGGAAATGCAAGCAGCACAATTTCCTCCTCCCTCACCTGCTTTGACTCAGGAAGATTAAAGCTCTCACCCTGCACGGGACAAAAACTCCCAACCCCCATGCATCCTGATGTGCATATTTCTAATACATGCAGACACACTTACATGCTCAAATGCTGGTAAAAGTAGCATTTTACCAGAACTACCAGTGTCCCCTACAATAATCCTCAAAATATATATTGAATATAATGTGAACACGAACCTTTTGCCTTGAATGCCATTTCCCAATACTTTACCCCATGTGCTATAGATGGTTTATATAGAGTCCTTGGTTCTCATTGTATCACTGGTTTGATTTCAGGGCCAATTCAGAGATAGCTCAGGTGCGAGTTAAGGCGAAGCAGGAGCAGGCCGCCTACCAGGCCAGCGTGAGGAAGGAGCAGATGAAGGTGGACTCTCTGGAGCGTACTTTGGAACAAAAGGTCAGTTAGATGTCCGCTCTGTTTTTATGTAATCATAATTATTTTAGTCTTTGGATTTAGTTTTTGTGGGGCCACTGCAACAATGTAAGTAAGCTATTTTAATAGCTATTAAAGGAGCAACCAGTAAGATGTGTACTAAAATGATAAAGGTATCTTAAGGAAACATGCTATGTTGAAGTGCTGGCTTCTCTGACAACAATGCAGCAGCCAGTATGTCCTCCTTCTAACTTTAGATTCTGCTCCTGAATGCTCTGGATTTGTTTGGACCACAGAAGGTAGACAGTTTTAAGGTGACCCCCCACATGGCCGTTTTGGACGCCCCTCGGTTTGTCAGATATGAGAGCAGTTATCAGGTCAACAGGTGTTGCAGTGATGGAAGCGGTCAAGAGAAGTGGTTCAGATAGAAGTGATTGTACCCGACCTAAAAAGCCTCTGCATGTTTCTAATAAGCTCCACGAGCAGAAACGTGCTCAAACTAGGATCAATATTGGAGATGCTTTTGAAAAATGGAGAGAGGTTAGAACACAGAAAGGTTTACAGACCCATGCAGAGCTGGATAAACACTGAAGCTTCAGAGTCCACCACATGGTGACCTGTGTGAGCATCCACTCTAGAGGGGGGGTTCGGGGGACAGCTCTCTACAATGTTTAGAATTTAGACTGCAGTACCCATTTTAAACACTAGGGGGTCAGAGTTACATACTGCTCCTTTAAAGCATATGAAATGCAGTACTTTTTTTTATACCCACAAACTTGCTTGATTGCCACAGAAAGTTTTCATTGGATCACTATGTTTTTATCAGAGGTCTTCTTCAGGTGATAACCTTAAAACGTTTTACTTTTTTTTTCCCAGAACAAAGAGATCGAGGAGCTGACAAAGATCTGTGACGAGCTGATCGCCAAGATGGGGAGGAGTTAGCGGCCTTACCGCGCCCAAGCCAAACCTCGTAGAGAAATTTAGCAGTTTTTTGGAAACACTCCTTAACCAAATGAAGCAGAATCATAACAAGTAACCTTTTCCACTCTTCCAAGGACTTTACGGACTTTAAAGGACAAAGAAGGTCTTTGGCTTGATTTCCTACTGAGCGGGATCCCCAGGAGACGCTCCTCTTAATCACTCTGTACATTTTTTGATGTGTCAGTGTTCTGTACTGTATCAGGGGGGTCTGGTCTTAGAAAATGTATCATATCACTGATTCTAAATGTGTGTGAGTGTGTGTATGATAATGAGAAAATGAGAGCGTTGTTTGTGGGATTAAATTATCTATGACGTTGCCATGACAGCCACTGAGGGTGAAGACTGTTTACCTGCTCCTGTAGTTGTTGTTTCCTTTTCAATATGAGAGACGGACACTTTGACTAAACAGCGACTTAGAAAGAGTCTTAAAAATATCGATGCACCACAAAGAGAACACAAACGATCACAATAACCTCCTGCATGTGAGAGAGACAGAACAATGTTAACGTTTGTATATAGTGTACTGTAGCAAAGTATGAAAAAGATTCCTCTGCATCCTTTTTTAAAAAAGTTATTCTGACGCCCTCCCGCCTCGTCGCTCCCCTCATTTAAACCCTTGTAGATAATTGTCATACTTATTGTAGCTTTCTCAATGAAATTGTGGGACTTATATTTTGGATTTTATTTTGATATAAAGCAAACTAATCTTGTGACTGTATTCCTGTTGTGACCAGGAGTCATTTAATGTTTTGGATGTCCTAGTCCTGCTATGGTCGTTTGTGTCACACTGAGGAAGAAGTCTTCTCTGCACAGCTCCTGTACAGCATCTGCTTACAAAGTGCAATAAAAGATGGCAATACAGCACGTTGGGTCTTTTTTTGCTTCCTGTCTCGCATGCTACACTCTCCCACGGGAAGGTGGAGAGGCTTCCACATGACGTGAGATATCATACATGGTGGACAATGATCCAGGGTTCTTTGACCTTGGAAAATTTCACCTTTCTGTTTTCAGATAGTGTTTCTACAATTCACTTATCAGACTCTTTTATCCAAAGTGACGTACATCAGAGAGTAAGAACAACACAAGCAAGGATCTAGAAAAAAGGGAACAATGTGAGTAAGAGCAAACGATCAGCTTTGAGTCTGATTGGACACACAGGTGCTGACAGGAAGTGACCAGAGGCAAAGCACAACATTGAGGGCAGTTCTTGAGAGCTCTAATCAGTATAGAAACCATCTTATAAGTCGTCGTTATCAAACAAAAACCATCGTCATTACCATCATCATCATCAATAATATGGAGACCATCATCATTAAGTTAGTAGGTATTCATGAAAGAGCTGGCTCTTTAGCTTTTTCTTAAAGGTGCAGAGGGACTCTGCAGATCCAATGGAAACCTTTAATTACTACCGCTAGTAATAACTTTATAAATAAAGCATTTCAATAAAACAAAGATATAAAAGTGCCCCAACCTTCAGCGAGGTGATCTGGCACTACTACCACCCGACGTCCCTGATGCCTAGCCTCCATCATCAGACTGTGTCGTCCCCTAAACCACCGCCGTCCTCATTCATCCTCATAGCAAGGAAGTGTGGACAACAGGAACGAGAGGAATACAAAGGAGAAATCCTTCCTGCATATTATCCAATTTGCTCTTTTTGTAAATCGCCTCGAGATAACACTTGTTGTTGGTGAATTGGTGCTATACAAATAATGATTGATTGATTTATGTTCAGAAAAGACGATGGACGTCTTGGAGAGAAAACGGGACGCATCAGTTAGCAGTAAAGTTATTGCAGGAACATTTTAGAGGAGAGCAATTCATTACATTTTTGGTGCTTGGTAAGTGAGAACTGGCTCCATACATATTCCTGTGTATATTGACTTTTACTTTAATAGATTTATAGTGACCGGTCGTGCAGCAGCAGCAGGATGATGTAAGGGCTGGACCAGGTGGTTACAGGGGCGGAAGACAAGATAGGGCGGGACTCTGGATGGGCGTGGCCATAAGCAGAGGTGAAAGGTGCAGGATGAACACTTGGCCCAGCGTCTTTTGCCCATCCCAGGCTGAGGAAGCAGCACAGAGCTGAGGGGGTCCCTGTTGGAGGGGGTGTTAATCTGGTGGTCAGTGAAGGAGGGATTTTAACCCATCAATACCTCAGATTAAACTCAGGGGGGGCTTTCAGGAGCAAACAACCTGCTTTTCTGTGTATGATCAAGACGACCAGGAGGACCAACAGCACCATGAGACCCGACCTGTACTGCCCGCTGCTGCTGCTTTCTTTCATTCTGCTGGCGACCAACAGTAAGAACCGGATTTTATTTATCATAATCTTTCATTTTCCTGGATCCTCTCTCCCCCCCGCCCCACCCCCACCCTGTCAGACCTGTGCTCTACCTTTTGTCACCACTTTTGTCATTCAGATGTGGTTGCCTTGTCCCTCCAGGTTTTCTTCCTTTGCCACTCTGAAACTTCCAAGACTTTGTTTAATTAAAAAAAAAATGCAGAACTCTATCGCATGAATCACTTTCAAATCTTGAGACGACGGCTGCCATCATTGAACTTTGAGACAAAGCGTTGCAGCTCTTTAAAAGATTATTTTGCAGCAAGCCTTTCCAGTGAAGCTGTTGTTCTAATTGCTGCTCATTTCTCCGCTAATTCATCTGCGGTTTGTCTCCCTACAGTCTGTCTTCCTCCTCTGTAACCAGCATGCATTCCCAGCAAGCTAATCTCTTAATAGGCCTGCAGGCTAAAGACTTTACAGCATGTGATGGAGCGGCTGTGCTGTGCTGTGCGGGGATAGACTGGGGTCAACTGCAAAAAACAGCAGGGGGCATTTTGCCTCGCCATGTCAACACAAAGGGGGTGGGGGGCAAATAAACGCAAATTAATGAGATCAATTATTTAAATTTAAAAAGAAACGCTTGCTATTTTTGTGTGTTCTCGTTGTTCCTCTGTTGAAGTCGTGCTCATATGTTGAATGATGAATTAAGGAATGAATTACCGCCTCGTTAAGTTGTTTTGCTGGTTTGATTAGAGCTGCTGGAGGTTATTTTGACAGCCGAGACAAGAGATGTACGTCCACAAAGATTTCTTTTGATGCCGTCTGTGATTTCCTATAAGAGCAGCTTTTTCCGTTTGATCCTCTTAAGAAAGCGGCATTAAAGGCCATTTTTCTGAAGGGCCATTTTAGAGATGGTTTTTGAAAAGGGAAGCGTTTAAAAGTGATATTTTACAAAGGTCAGCTACTTCTGAAGTAACAGCTCCTTCCTCTGGAGGACTTCAGGGACACGTCGGAAAGTTGTATTTGCTGAAGTGAGCTCCTGACGCTTCAGCTGAAGGTCACAAAGATGTAGCCTATTTGTGAAATCAGAGGGGACTTGTCTCATTATTTGGTTGATTTTTAGGAAGATTTGTGGAAAATGAAGTGAGGAATAACTGCTCTCTTCCCTTAGTTACACATACAAGTCTTTACCTCGACTTGTAAAGTTAAAAAAAGGATAGAAATGTCCATCAAAAAGGCTCTGACAGAAATAGGTTTACATTAAATGAATGGATGGATTTTCACAATAAATGGGACTGAGATCGCTCGAGTATGCAACGATGTATTGCATATTTTGTCTCTGCCAGGGCTGCTGCAGCTTGTTGTCATGGGAACCACGTGGACTGATGTCTCTAAATGTCTAAATTTGGGTTTTAAAAGGACAAATGTGTCAGCCGTGACATTTACAAAAAGAAATTTCTGCATAAAACTTGACGCATTTGACAGAGAGCATTTTCTTTTTTACCATCAGCAAGATTTTTTTTTTGTGGGGAAATTGCACGTTAGTGTCATAAACACTTCTCAGCGGCTGATGTATATTTCCCGCCAATTGTACTCCAGTTGCAAGATAGTCTTGCTCAATTAGACTTCTCTTTGACTCTTTATCTCAAAAGTAAGTAAACAGGTGTATCAGAAGAATTTCTAATCTAGGAATCATGCTTAAAACTTCCTTCTATATTGTGTCGTATTTTGTGCTTCTCAAGACATCGCTTAACTTTGAATCTACTGACATGCGATGCAGTCGTGGTGGATTAAGTCCGAGTATCTGTCTGTGCTTCAGCAGTGTTTCTTCCCCTGTGTCTCACAGGTGAAGCTCTGAGTTGCTACACCTGCATGGGCTCCAACAACAACGACTGCAACCGGCAAGGTTCCAAATTGTGTCCCAGCTACTCCGATGCCTGCGCTGTGGTGGTCGGCCATGACAGTGAGTCCAGCAGTGACAGTGAAGCTGCCTTTGCTTTACTGGCTTTCCTTCTAGCAATCAATTAAAACGTCTGTGTGTGTGTGTGTGTGTGTGTGTGTGTGTGTGTGTGTGTGTGTGTGTGTGTGTGATGGAGAACGGGGGGCTGTCTGGAGACACATCTCACTCAGAGGGGGGTCTGAAGCTTTTAAGGAAATGAAGTGCTTTGCTCGTCCTTATTGACCAATCTCTAATGAGGACACCATGTGTTCATTCCTGACAAAATAAAGTCGACTAATTTTACATTTAAATTCCATGTAAAGTCTTAAAAAACATGTTCAAAGTTTCTTATACAACAGAAGACTGTGTTAATAACCACCAGGCCAAACTTCAGTAATGGAAAAAAAGTAGTATACCTTAGTATACCAATTGAAGTTTCAAAATCCTGAAAAATGAAGCAGCGATCTCTGCTTGTGATGCTTTGGATGTGTCAGTAAATGGGCTAAAACCACGGCCACTCGTGGGAAAGACATGCCCCTCTCACCTGTCAAAAAACAGCTATTCTAATTCTAGCATCCAGTGAAGATTCGCTTACAAAATGAAAGCATAGCTAGCTAATAAAACTGCAGACTGAAATGTTAGAACTTGGTTAGAACAAAGGTGCCGGAGCTGCCGATATGTATGCATACTCTGCAATCCAAGCTTTTGTCACACTGATGACGCTGTGCGCAGCTTAAAATTCACCTGGTACCTTATCACACAGTGTACCTGCACGTCGTACAAACATTATGAGATCGGTGTTGCACAGTGTGGCTGCAGATACTCTATAAGATTGAAGTGTTTTCATATCTTTACAAGAAATCTTTAGCCAACATACATCGTGTGTATAGGGACCAAATTCAGATTTTGCTTTATGAGGACGCTACATTTTCACATGACGACGGTTTACATGAAATCGACCTTAATCATCTTTACTCCTGGCTATAATTGTCACAACCGAGATAGACCAGATTCTCCAACTTTTCATATGAGCTAAGAATGAAAAACTAAGACGTAACACTCGAATGGGGGCATGTCATTGTAAAATAAATCCGATCTTGCCTGTGAAAGGAAACATGGTGGATGCACCAGATTGCTCAAATTGAATTCTGTCATCAGGTGGGTTGTGTTTATGTACTATGCATTAAAGGCTTAAAAGGCACCAGCATGAAACCAAAACAACTAGCGGTGTATTGTTGTGTTAGCATGCTAATGCTAGCGATCTTTATTATGCTGGTATCTTCACACTGCATGTAAATTTACCTGAAATGAGCGTGATCTAGAAACACAGTTAAACAGTGAGTACAGTATGTTATTCTTCTTTTCTCTAGTCCCTCAATTAAACAACTTTTATACACGAGGGGAGGAGTCAGCCGGCCGTCCGGGCGATGTAAACAAAGTGAAGATAGGACTCTGAAAACTCTGAAAACATCACAGACAGTGGGACTCGGGTGTTACACCCATTGTAGACAGTCATGACTCACAGAGTTATTTTCAGAGGATAGACTTGATTTCTACATTTAAGTGTGAAAAATCACATAGAAAGACTTTAAGAAGGAAATAAGGTTAAAGCTTCAGCTATGGCGGTTTAGTCAAATAACT